AGCGCATGTATAAGGAAAATGAAACTCTTGCTTCTCTTTTTACTGAAGTTAAAACAAACAGCCAGTAATACTATTCACTCCTTATCTCAGAGAGTGAATTGAAAATAAGTGCTTTATTCTCATTGCCATGTACTGACTTTCATAAACTGGTGGTGGAAAATCTTAATAGTTAACCATATTTTGTGTTTATTTAATACTAACCAAACTTGCCACATCTTGCAAGGACACCCTTTCTTGCTTTGTATTTGGAACATTCCCAATGAACTAGACATATTGAGTGATTCTAGAGGAGAATGTTTCTGAAAGTAAACTACTTCAGGAGAGAAATCCTTAATTTTATGGAAACCTTCTTGCCTGAAAAGTGTCTTGTATGTGAACATTTTTTCCTAAAGATTTATTAAAGCTTTTCCTACTTTCTTGGTTGCAGATTCATTTTAAAGTGAATGTTTGGTTAAACTCCATGAGCTTGCAGTGGTAGAATCTGGGCAACCCGTTTTGCCAGCTCCCTGCACCTTCCTGTGGGGATACCCGCTGTGGATGTATTAAGGCTGATAGGTTTAACCAAAACTTAAACTTTTACATAAATATGTGTGCTAGATCCATGCAGTCGATAAAGCATAGAGTCTTCCTTGATAACAAGATGGAGTTTTCCTTTTACCACCCTATTCTTTGTTTAAAATGACTTAAATTTGATCTTTTTCTCTAATAAAGGAGAAAAAGAAGTGTATTTTGCTTTTCTTTATTTTAGTTGGCCTTTTTAGAGGCTTTTCAACTTGACCAGGGTAATGAGTTTCCTTTTTCTTCAGTATCTTTTTAAGATAGCCTCGCCTCCATTCATCGCTTCTCTAGGAAGACACATATTACTAGGATCAGTAGCCTTTTTGAAGTGTCAGGCCACATTTGCAAGAGACACAGGATGGAACTGCCTATATGTTACAATTAACCACTAGCAGTGAATTTAATGTATCTTAGAAATTTAGAACAGTAATCCAGAAATGGTTTTGTATAGTCTTGTGACTATGTTTTGACTTTAGCAGGATCTAGGGATGAACTATCACATGGCTCATATCAGATAACTACTTCAGTCTCTTATGTAAATGACTAATAGCATTTCTACATAAATTTGAATAATCTCATCCCAAATTTTAGCTCCCATGCATTCTCATAGTACGACAGCTGTGAGGAGTTTCAAAAAGAAAATCCTTAATCTGACATGTCAGATGACGTAGGCTGATGAGAGAGAAAATGTATTTGAGAATGCATTTGGAGTTTGTCTCTAGAAATGCAAATGCATGGAGGAGCAATGATAGTTTTAGGGAAGGTAGGCAATAGGATGATTGGATCTTTTAACACCTAGCATAGTATCTTACCACATAGTTGGTTTTTGTTCAACGAATACACTTTTATGTTCTTTGTAAAATTTGGGAATATTCTCAAGTTTTGATAACTTAAACATTTGGCAAGCCATCTATAAATAATATATAAAATCTAAAACACAATGAATACATTATACAAGTGATTTAATGTAATACTTTCGCTTCTGTCATCCCTCCTCCCCACCCAGCTCCATTATAAGGTAAATTCGATCCTAAGGCCAACCTAAAGTTCTTGTTATGGTAAATTTGTGTTTAAATGCCATGAAGTCTCTATGATTTAAGAGAAATCAACTGCAGTTTTGTTTTTGGGCCAGAGTAGCTAAGAGGCTAAGTCATTCTCTCTACCAGTTCTTAAACAAACTTGAATGTAAACACATTTTCTGTTCCTTCATGATTTGCAAGCAGTCTTAACTAAAGTTATCTCTTGGTCTTCGCTGGTAATTTTGATTGTTTCAGGAATGAAGAAATACCTGCATGAAAACCACTAGAGGGTGTTACCTCCAGAGGGAAAAACTGACCAGGGAAAGTGAAGAAAGGTTTTACTTTCTTCAGAATAAGATAGTTTTGCTTTGCTTTGGACCACAAAGTTAATTTTGGATTCTATAATTCATCTCTCATTTTGCTTTTGGAAGAAGGACACGATCAAAGGGGAAGAGTAATGGACAGGAATAGAAATGTGACATTATAAACTAGTGGGGCTTCTATGCTTAGATGATTTTGGTAACTTTTCTGCAAAAATTTTTGTTGCAAAAAACAAAAAATCTGTGAAAAGCTAGCGTGTTTTCATGTTTGACACAAAAATTCATTTAGCAGCCAAACCTGACCTCCCCGACAGGCCTTTATCATACTTAGTATTAAATTCATATATTTGTTACAAAAATCTTTAATGTATTTGATTACAGGTGCTGTCCCAAACCATATTCATAATTCTTTATGTAATCTGAAAAATTCCAAATTCTGAAACATCTGGTCCCCAGAATTCCAGATAAGGGATTGTGATCTATATATAGTTAATTGGCTATAAATAAAGTCCAAAGGGAATATAAAGAGGACAAATTCGGAATGGAATGCTATTATCAGTATTGAGGGAAATCCTACCGGGGGAGAGGTGGTTGAGGAAAGAGGTGTGCTGATTTTCCTGCCAATCATTCCACAGCATTTAGACTAGAAGTATTAAAGAAAAAATTATTCCGACACTTGTTAAAACAGTGAGGAAGACTTTATTCTAGCTACTACAATAGGTGCCAAAGACTGTCACAGTAGAGGAGAGATACTTCGCTCAACTCCAAATACAGCAAAGACAGCTGGGATTTAAAGTCAGTGAGCAAAATCAGGGGAGAGGGAAAATTACTAAGGAGACATCAAAGGTAGCAGAATGCTTGCTAAACTGATTTAACCCTGGAAAACCAGGGTGATCAGATGCTGAGGGTGAGGGAATTCCCTCTAAATTGACTTAGCAGGATTCTTTCAAAAACTGGCATAGTCAGGCCAGAGAAGGGCCTATGATGAGGTCCAGTCGAAAAGAAGGCTCAGAAGAGCCTGGTTAAAGTTTGGTCATGGAGAGAGTCTATGTCAGAAGCTAGACACAGTCCCTGTGCACACTGTTTACCATCTATATTTCTAATACAGAAATTAATGGCCTGAAGTGAGATACTGTCATAAGGAAAACAATGTTTAGCATTGGCTTACCTCATTCACATGACAAACACCTGGGACTTGTATTTCAAGTAACATTTTGTCGCCTACTGAGCTGATCGCTCCATGGGTAGCAGTTGGAAAAGTCAGAATGTGAAATGAATTGCCTGGTCCTTGATGTTTTTACATCACAAGAAAGAACTGACCAGTCTCCCAAGTGGAGATGGAATAGAGAAACATCAGATATTAGGAACCTCAAAGGATTAGAAAGCCAAGGGCTTCTGTACCCTTCTATACCAAAAAAGGCCTAATACTGTTTTCTTTTTGAGGTGTGGGAGGCTGAGGGGGAAGCCCAGCAAGACCTATCTGTCACATGGTAAGCCAAATAAAGGGATCCATCCCTGCACTGATAATCTGGGTGTTAGCATTCTCAGTGCAGTCTTATTTTCAGCTGGTCTCAAGGTAGCCTCCACTAAAGAGGCAGGGTCCTGTGATGATGAAAGCATACTTTGAGAATTTGGTCTAGAAAAGTGCTTGATTGTGATTCCTAACAGGTGGAACTAGAAACACAGAATTTTTGAGGGGATTTTACTTCCAAAGAAATGTAAGCTTGGCCTTAAAACAATGGGCACCAAGTTCATGCCAGCAATAAGTGCACTACTATTTTCACAACTCCCATAAAGGGCAAATTCCCAGCATCTACTTCAGACAGAGCCACGGAGAGAAGTGGATAAGAGTAATATTCCAGAGTGGAAGCCATTGAGGGTAATGATGAACAAGGGAGTCTCTTGCCAGACAGCAGAATCAGGGTCTGATCAAGGAGCTTTTTTTGGTCAGAAACAGCACAAGCAGGGGGGGCGGCAGGCAGGGGGAGAGGGAGAAGCAGGCTCCCCGCTGAGCAAGGAGCCCGTTGCAGGACTTGATCCCAGGACCCTAAGATCACAACCTGAGCAGAAGGCAGATGCTTAACCAACTGAGCCACCCAGGTGTCCCAAGGAACTTCTTTATCATCAGGGACACACTCTTCTCAGGGTTTCCCAGGAATATCCCCACAGTGGCTTTAAATCAATACATGTTTCCCTTTATTCCATTTTCCAAGTTGAGAGGTTTTATTTGGGTTTCCTGTCCTCACCACACCATCATAAATAGGCAGACTTAAGGGTGAGAGGAAATAATTTGCCCATCAGTTTAGACGTCAGACTATTAGAAGCCACATCTACAACTGATGGACCTTGATGAAGATCCTGGATTTTGAGTTGAATCAGTAACTGGTGAGGAAGGGTGGAGTATGGGAAGAAGGTTGTGCACAGAGATTTAGTAGCAAGAGAAGAATGCTGTGGCTGCTAGTTGCTACCAAAATCCTCCATGTGCTTTTATGGTAATAAAGTGATAGCTGGAATATGGCTTCTAGCCAAAGACTACATTTCTCAGCTCCTGCAATCTAGATGTAACTAAGTCTCTTCACCATTGGAATGTAAGAAAACATATGTGCCATTTCCAGGCAGGCCTAACCCTTAAAACTTTGCATATGTGTCCCATGTAGTTTCTCTGTAAATTAGAATAGTGATTAGTTAGAGTGATTTAGAAGCCATGGTCGAAAATGGCAGAGCTATCCTCAACTCAAGTCCCTGAATCATGTGGAACAAAGCCTGCTAGCTTGCAGTGTTTAACCTCAAGACCATTAGTTGGGAGAGAAACTTCTATATTATTTTATTAGCGTATCTCTTGTTACAGGAGCTTAGCCTAACCTAAAAATTATAACCACCTTTCCCCTGGCAATCCTGGATCTGTCTCCGAATTCTTTGTTTTATTTCAAAAAGTTAACGTATAATATCCTGTAACATTTGTTTTAATAAAAATATTCCCCTACACATACAGTAACTAGTACTTAAATAAGATATGCTACTTAACCCTGTGGCTTTGAACAACCCTGGATATACCACTACACCATTATATACACCAAGTTACTATATTAACACACACACAATTTCTGAAACAGCTTTTTATTAAACAGCAAAGCAAAATTGCAACACAATTTTAAATGTTTGTAAATTAGGTCACAAAAGGGATGCAAAATATTTGCAGTATAACTATTATATTCATACAGCTAAAGTCATTCATTGAATCGTACACCAGTACAAACATAAGATTATTCCAGGATTAAAAGCCCAAATCTAACAACCAAAACTGTATCAGTGGATCTCTTTTCCTATTTAACATTTTAACATTACTTCTGATACTAATTTTCTTACCAGATGGAATCTACAAACTAAATTTTTAGAAACCGTAAAAGAGTGACTAAAACTCTGCAAACCAAGTAGTTAGGTTTACAGAAAATTCTGGGAGAAGTGGTGAGATTAAATACTGAGTAAATAACATCTAGTATACATGTAAAACTCTCTCATTTTATTATTCATGATTCTGATACTAATACACCCTAAAGGGATTTTGCAAAAGTTGATCTGCTGGGTACTACAAATAAAAGTTAAGACTAAACTTTTTGTAACTGTTCTCTTCCAGATGTGGTTGACATAAGGTTAGTCACATTTAATCTACTTTCTCAGATATATATATGTATATATATACATATATACACACACACATATATATCTAGTCTGTGTCAGAGATCATACAAATCTGGAGTAAAAACATTTTGGAGTTGGTTACTACTGTTTGCCAAGTACCTTTCCCATCCTATTAATGTTTTTCTCAAAATTTTCTATTCCAAATGTATAAACAGAGCTCATCTTTCCAGATACTAATCTTTCTCCACATTTTGTGCAAAAGGAAGGTTATAACAACCAAGCCTTCCCAATTTGACAATTCAGTTGCAAAGAAAAGTCTTCATATTTATAGCCTCTGTTTTCAACTGATTAAAGAGAAACCAACAATCCTATCTTATTATTAACTATGAGAAGCCCTAACTGAGAAAGTATCTTATTTTAGTAAGTTTCAACAATTCAAGCTCAGGTTACTCTCACAGATGATTAACTATTAAAATTACTTTTACAAATGTAAAACCAATTTTTTCCTTAGGGGAAGGGAAATGGAAAGGAAGCAAATGGAGAAGAGGCACAACATGGTGGACAGGGTACATAAAGCTGTGCGTTCAGTACATGATTTTGGTCACTTTTCACAACACGGTGGTTATTTTCCTGTTATCTCTTACTATGCCTATAATAAAAGACAGTGCTAAACCTATAAATCAAAGCAAATTTGATAAAACATTATTTTCAAGTTTCATAAATATATGCATTTCTAATTATAAAGTCTCTACATTTGCACATTTTCATAGACTAACATATACACAAACTCATTAAGTCTTCCGTTATGCTCTTAATTTTGCCTAGATCTGACATTATCTTCATAAATATTCAATTAAGCCACAAACAAAAGTACTATAACTTTTTAAATCTATCCAGGTTTTAAAGAAAAAAAGATCAGCAGCAATTCCATAAAACAGAAGGGATGTTAATCCCTTACTTTCTTTTGCTTTTTGTGTCAGTTGTTTGAAAAACACTAGAAGCTGACATGAGGTTTTCTATATATTGTCCAAGAACTTGGTTTTCTGATTTTAGCTTCAGATTTTCTTCCTTAACTGCATCTACTCTTGCGGAGAGGTCTGTATTTAAGAATAAAAAAGTCCAGTATCAATAAAATGATGGCAATGACTCCATACTATAAAAGACTTAAAATTCATTCTTAAAAGAGATAACACAATCTTTAAATTTTCTGCTTTTAAATTCAGGTAACTTTAGAAATTAAGGTAAACAAAGTAAACTGAGTGCAAGTTAATAGCCAAAATTCTTAAAAAGAGATTTCACATTAGACTAAATGTTGGTAAATAGCATCTATGTTGAGTAGTTATTTCTTAAAATGGTTATTTCCATAAGATATGGACTTGGTTCTTAAAATGTGAATTTTGATTCATGTTTTATCAACACAAAAACGGTAACATCTTTGTTAGAAATGCTTAAGAAAATGTGGCAGGCAAATACAACTCAATTTATACACTGGATATGGAAAGTCAGTTTCCAAGCAATTGAGCATTTTGTATTTTTACATTTGCAAGAAATTCAAAAGACATAGTTCTTAACGATCAAATAAAACATTATCTCCATTCATTAACAACTAAGTATTGGGTGCCCTTTAAGAGCCAGGCACTGTTCTAGAGGCAACTGTAACAAAAGCCCTGGCCCTCACAGAGCTTACATTCTAATGTGCATGTGGGCACATGTGCATTTGGGGGGCTCCAACCAAGTAGCGCTCAGGAGAAAAAAGAAGGGTAAGAGTCGCAGGAAGCAAAAGGGAAGTTGTCTTTTTATATTCGTATAGTCAGTGATATTTTGATAAAGGGCATTTGACCAGAGACCTAAAAGAAATGAGGGAATGAGCCATCTAGAATGCGAACACCTAAGGGAAAGAGATTGAAGCAGAGAACAGCAACCACTAAGACGGTCAGTAGAAGTGTGCTGAAAGAACAGCACGGAGGTCAGTGTGTGAGGCAGAATGAATGAGGTGGAGAGTGGGACATGACTGACTCTGAAAGGTAAAAGGAGGTAAGAGATCTCCAGAGTAACCTGGCTTTTATTATCTGTGAAACGGGAAGCCAGTGAGATGACGTGATCTGCTCACCCTGCTGTTCAAACAAAACAAAACACCCACAGCCTCTTAATTTCATTAAAAACCAAGATGTTTCAGTGGTAGTATTAATTTTATGCAAGACACTCAGAAAATGAAAACACTCAGATCGACCCACTTTTAATCTCTGAAGCTAAAACATTTTTAAAGTAAAAACTTCAGTATAAGCTTTATTAAAGTGGACTTAGTAATAACACAATGCAGGGGCTTAAGGGGCTCTCATATCATAAACAGCATTACATTAACCCCAGAGGGATGCATAGGAACACTATTTGACTTTCTTATCGAAGCACATCTGTTCTTTAAAATCACCAGCCAAAGCTGCAGGCAGGCAGGAAAAGAAACTATTGAAATGGACTTTGAAGTTTATACTTTTAAAAACTGGGGACATGCTAACAAAATTTAGCAAAACAAATGCTTACAATTTCAACTAATTAGATATTATTCAAGAAAACTACAAAATGCAAGCTAACCTTCAAGTGTGTGTTGAAGTTCCAACACTTGATTAATAAGTCGTGTTTTTTCCTCCAGTTCCACCTGATTTTCAGCATCCACTGCTGTAATACAAAGGTTCAGATTTACTATTAATTAACATTAGGTACCATCTGTGTAGTGTAGCACTTAAAGATATGCAAAATTTTTGATATTCATTATCTTACTTGACTTAAACAAGAGCCCTGTAAAGGAAAAAGTTAGATGCCCACATGGCAGATAAGGACACCGAGGTGAAGATAAATTGTTTTGCCATTATCAATCCTTTCTAGATCTAGAGAGGATACAAGTAAGTAAATTAGCCAAATCCAAGCCTCTAAATATTGCTTCACTGTTCTTTCCATTGCTTAATTAAGCCAAAAGCATCCACAAAACCAGGAACGCACAAAAAGGAAAATAAAGCACATACCATCCATGTCAGCATTCATCATCTCGGGTAACAAGCTTTTGGGTCTTGGGTACAAAGTCCTTGATGAATGGTCTGCAATAAGAGAAAGTTAGAAACAAACATATAGCAATAAAATACCACTGTACATTTATTAAGTTTTTTAAAGGAGATAATGATCAAAGTTATGGAGGAACAAATACAAAATATTAGAAATTTTAAATATGTTATCTTCTTGGAAAGCAGTATGGTAATAACTTATATTCACAAAAACATTTAAATATTTTTTAATAAGCAGTTTTGCTCTTGGAAATTTAGCCTAAGGAAAATTACAAAGAAGGAAAAAAATTATATACATAAAATCTTCACTTCAACCTTATTTACAACCCATGAAATTGGAAACAACAGAAACTGTCCATTCAGAGTCTGGTTAATAACTGCAGTTTCTAATCTAGAGGCTACTAAAAATAATTATGATGACTATAACATGGAAGAATGTTTACAAAATTCTGTATCCACTGATGTAAATTATGTAAAATACACATAAATACAAATAAAGAGAACGGCAAAATGAAAAAAGCTCTTATGTTAAGGATGATGGGGATAAAGACAAATCTCTTTAAAAATATTTTCCATTATTAAAGTATTACTTTACAGGAGCAGTCATTAAGCATCTGCCTTCGGCTCAGGCCGAGCCCCATATCAGGCTCCCCACTCAGCGGGAAGCCTGCTTCTCCCTCTCCCACTCCCCCTGCTTGTGTTCTCTCTCTCTCTCTGTGTCTCTCTCTGTCAAATAAATAAATAAAATCCTTAAAAAGTAAAAATAAAAAAAAGTATTACTTTACATGTGCTGTTTAATACTTTTAATTGATAAAGTTCAAGAGAAAAATACTAGCTATCTGAAACACTAATATGGGAAAAATGAAAAATATCAACTTGTTACCTCCTGGTTATGGTTAAAACAGATTAATTAGGATGTGTATATGGAAATAAATATCAACATTTTATTGTTTCTGTAAAAGATTCCAAAATATTGGGGCACTTGGGTGGCTCAGTTGCTTAAGCATCTAACTCTTGATTTCGGTTCAGGTCATGATCTCAGGGTCATGAGATTGAGCCCCGTGATAGGCTTCACACTTAGTACAAAGTCTGCTTAAGATTCTCTCTCTGTCTTCTCCATCTGCCCAACCCACCACCCACAGGTGTGTTCTCTCTAAAAGTTTCCAAAGTATTAAAACATAAAATTCCTGTGAAACATGTTCTGCTCTATAGCTAACATTCATTTCATATTCAGTGTGCTCAAGATTTTTAAATAAGCCAGATTATTACTGGAAAGAGATCTGGTAAGCAATCTAATCTACTCACTGAAGCAATTTAGACCTGTCAATATTGTTACTCTTTCAACAAATTATTTATAGAGCACCTTCTATACCAAAGCATTCTTATGCCTCTATATGCTAAATAGTAGAACCCCGACCTACTGAACAAGGATGTCTACATTCTAGAACTAGAATCCTAAGAGTTTTCAGTGTATTGAATATTCCCTCACAGTTTTAGTTAATAAAATTGTGTGACACTTCAGACACTAGCATGAACGTGGAAATAAAATGCTCAGTGTATGCATAAACCACCTCTGAAATAAGAGATCACTTGTTGGTCTAAGAAGAAAAGACATTAAACATCCTTTATATAGCATTATTAAAGAATTAGCTAGCTACAAATGGTACAAAACTGACCTAATGCTTAATAATTATCTACTCTGAGTCTTCTAGCATCTTTCTACTTATCTAGCATTAGAGCTACTTTCCCTCAAATTGTTTGCACATGGCTTTAATTCTCAGGTTCTTTGTACTTCAGAGAAAGTTCACACATATATATGGGATATAATATGTATATATTATATACATATTACATCTGCATTATACATATGTAACATATTATGTACATATGTAATATGCATATAAACTTTTTCTGAAGTACAAAGAACCTGAGAATTAAAGCCATGTGAAAAAGATGTAATATATATAGTTGCATATATATTATATACTATATGTAATATATAAACATAATGTGTATTAATATGTAATACATTTTAGTACATCTACATGAATCCAAGTAGACTGATTACTAAAAATCTCTTCAAAAATTCTTTATATTATTCAACTTCAAAAATTATCCCTCTCCATTCAGTCAACAACATATTGCTTTATAAGTGAAGAGGAGGAGTGCTGGCAGTGAAAACTTTATTTGGCACTTGACATAGCGAAGAGCACTTTTCCTACCATTTCAGCTACTGACTTGGCTAACACAGGTCTGGGATGGACGACATAGGCAACAGCCAAAAGCAAAAGTGATCCAGGGAGTACTCAGCAACAGTAGCCTGCAGCTTGGCTATTTCTCCTGCTAAATAATATACAAAAGCACTTCAAAATCCTAATATTTAGCGTTTTTAAGAATACAAAACAAAATTTTCATGACAGCTGAGAAGAGTTATAAAATACACAAGCAAAGCAACATGTAATCATGCAATCAATGCAACTGACTTTGAAATCAGGTTTAGTATAGGGATGTGGAATCCTTCTTTTGCCTATGTTTCAGTCTAACACTGAAATTAAACCAAAAAGTCTTCTACAAAAGTAAAGTGTTCCAAATTGATCAATGTAATAATGAAGCCAGTTTCTGAAATTCTGGCCACAAGGAACCCAAACAATAGAAAATCTTTGTATGGTTTATCAACAGTTTGACTTCATCTGAAAAAATGAAAGAAAAAAAGGCAGAAAAATGGGGTGGAGGAGGCTTATGAGAGGGAAAATGAAGCTTAGAAACACACACTGAAGACTGAGGCGGAGGCAAGAGCACAAAAGCCCACCCAGTGCGCACAAGGACAGTGCTATGCAATATACAACACAACCCAAGAGAACACTATTCACATCATAGTCTGTGTAAGATGGCACCTCGAGGATTATACAGTGCAAAATCTGCTAACTCTGTGTGGCAGCCCTGTGCAAAAGGGTATTCATGACTCTTCAATGAGGCAGACAAGAGCATTGCCAGCTACCTCTGCACAATAAGAAAGACAAATAGCAATTTTCTCGTATTCTGATGTGATTAAACAGGCTAGCCTCAAAATGCTATTCTTGTATATATTCAAGGTCTTCCAGTAAATTTAGAGTAATAAGCTGACTTATTATATATACATAAATCAGAAGGTTGAGTTTATTTTTTTTAAAAGATTTTATTTATTTGACAGAGAGAGACACAGCGAGACAGGGAACACAAGCAGGGGGAGTGGGAGAGGGAGAAGCAGGCTTCCCGCTGAGCAGGGAGCCCGATGAGGGGCTCGATCCCAGGACCCTGGGATCATGACCTGAGCCAAAGGCAGACACTTAACGGCTGAGCCACCCAGGCGCCCCTCATTGAGCTCTTTAGATCAAAGTATTTTAGCCACAGATTTTCTTTCAAAATAGGATCAATCCTCAAACCTCACAATGTCTACATTAGCACAGGTACTATGTCATAATATGCACTTAATACCAGACTGAGTTTTTCAACTATAAAACTCAGTCTTTTTCTCAGTCTATAGTTGCTATCACATCAATCCAATTTCATGTGAAATGTGCTTTTAAGAGTTCATTTTTGGGGTGCCTGGGTGGCTCAGTTGGTTAAGCATCCTACTCTTCATCTCAGGGTCCTGATTTCAAGCCCCGCAATGGGCTCCACACTGGGCGTGGAGCCTACTTAATAAAAAATTAAAAAAAAAAAAAAAGAAAGAAAAGGAAAGAGAAAAAAAGAGTTCATTTTCAGTTCCTTCTGTTCCTGTACAAAAATGCAAAGCTGATGTGAAAAGAAAATCCAGACCAAAGTATCTCAAGCATGAGGACATTGAAAGGAGTGTGCGGTTCTAAGACTGATCTGTTTATCCTAAAGCTGCCTTCATTCCGAAATGGATATGGTTCTCCCAGATCTGTCAACTCTGACCTAAGCCTGGGTTGGATCTGAAAAGCTTTTATCAAAAATTACAGTACGTTCTGGGCCCATTTTCATCTAGCCTTGGTTGGTAGAAGAGAATCCGGAATTATTTTGATAATTTAAGTCCAGGAAGCAAAAAGTATGGAGAGAACAAGAGTCAGAAAGTGTGACAATCATTACGACAGACCCATTTTTCCATGCCCACATACCTGTGATCAAAGATTACTGTTTTACCAAAGGAGACCTCTACCTACTCTTATAGTACCCTGAATAGTACCACTGTTAAGAAGCAGTTTAGCCCAGTGATAAAGGACATAAATTTATATTACTTGGATTTAAATCCTAGTTCTGCTATTTATAAGCTCTGGAAACTTGAGCAAGGTTAATATCAGCCTCAGTTTCCTCATCTGTAAAATGAGGATAAGAGTATGTACCTCATAATTTTTTTATGTAAAATAAAAGTTTATTTACAAATTGTTTTCTAATCCATCAGTTCCCTCTGTTCTTTTTTCTTTTAATTTTTTATTGTTATGTTACTCACCATACATTACATCATTAGTTTTTGATGTCGTGTTCCATGATTCATTGTTTGCGTATAACACCCAGTGCTCCACCCAGAAGTGCCCTCTTTAATACCCATCACCAGACTAACCCATCCCCCCACCCCCCTCCCCTCTAGAACCCTCAGTTTGTTTTTCAGTACGTACCTCATATTTTCGTTGTAAGAATGAGGTGATATATATAACTTGCAATGGTACCTCATACATAGAAGGTATTCAATAATGTTAGCTATTATCTCCTCTACCTTTTGGCTCTAATTCAGTCCACAAAAAGAAATTTTGGTAAAATCATCTGGTCTAGCTGCCTCATTTTACAAATAAACAAACCGAGGCCAAAGATAGTAACAGCTTACCCAAAATCACTACTAGGCTAGTTTTCTCCATCACACTACCACAGGTATGCTCTGAGACCTAAGATTTTGAGAGTTTTTCGTGATACCCATCCAACCTCAACCACCCAACTTTGCAGCATCTAAAACTGATTTTCATGTCATCCGCTTACTAGTGAACAAGACTACTAAAATGATGTCACTGTTCATTAATATACTAAATGCTTTACATATATTATTAGTTCATCAAATCAACAGAAAGGCATTGTGATTTATATTTGTGGGTACTATACCTCAGAAAGGCTATGTATCTGCCTTAGAATTCACAGCCAACATTTGTACCAAGATGTTAAAAGCAGGTCTCACTATAAAGTCCTTGTTTTTTCCATTGTGTAATGGAAATACAGCCCTAATCTATGTCTGCCAAATATTTTGCAATCTTTGATGTTACATTCCTTTGATATTTTACGAAGCAACTGAAGATAAATTTCATTCCATTCAAGCTGCATCAACTTTCAACATGGTTTGTCTGTTCAGGCCTGTTCAAGTTCTGAATTGTTCTGGTCAAACAAATCCAGTTTCAAGATTCCATAAGATTAAGGGATTGGCCAAATGAGGATTGGAACGGAAGCTAGATCCCCAGAGAATGGCTAGTTATAGTGAATTTAATCAATGAGTACAGGCACAGAATATATAGGCATAGCTTTGGATCCTCAGGTACAGACATACAGTGCTGGGGACATAGGATAGCAGGTCCTTAACATTGTTACGTCATAGTAGCGGAATCGATATATTGTATAACAAAAGTCCTGCCTTTCGAAAGGCATCTTCTTTCTCCTTTTCGATCCTAACTCCCCAAAACTTGCTCGGCAGGATCCCTGAGGGAAGCCCAAGTAGAAACTAACCCGGGAGCTCCTCTCGGTGCCAGGAAAGCGTCGCCAGCCCTTATTTTACCCTCGCTCGCCACCCTCCCCGCCTTGGCGTTCTCTCCTCCTACCTCCCGGGCTCTCGGTAGAGCAACCACGGACAAGTGCAGGCGTGCCAGGTCCATCCCGCCCAAACGCCCCTCTGCAGTCCCAATCAGGGCGGGAGGCTGGACAGCGGCCTTCGACTAAGAGGCGGGAGAAGGCAGCGGGAGATCCGCCTCAGGGACGCGAGCAGCCCCTCCCCCAAAGGAACCACTGGGCCCAATAATGAGAAGATGAGGAGGTTGCGCAGGGGGTTCTGCAGGGAGTCAGGCCTGAGGCGCCCACCAAAGGCCCAGGCCCGAGGCCGCTCTTCCCGGACACCTGGTGCCCCGGGCCGCGTCCAGCCCTCCCCGCCCTGCCCGCCCTGCCCGCTCTCCAGCTTCTCGGCTGTACCGAGGGCGCGACTCCAGTCGCCCGGGGCCAGGCCCTCCGCTGCCCACGACTGCCCTCACCTGCCGTTGAAGGCGCTGGGAGTGGGAGGGATCGCGAAGACGCCTCAGGCCCCAACGCTTGGACCAACTGGTACCGGCAGCTCCGCCCTCTGCGCCCACAGAGCGTGCGCCGTGTCGGGAGTCCCGCCCCGTCCCGCCCCATCGCCCACCAATCCCCACTCAAGAAGATACGCCTGCGCATTAGCAGTACGACGCCCCAATCGTCCTTTGTCAAAGCCCGAGGATCCACCTTTTGCCCTAACAAAAGGACGTTGGCATCCAATCAGGATTGAGGCTGTTGTGGGCGGGTCCGGTAAAAGCAACAGCCAATGACAGTACAGAAGCGAAGTTAAGCATGAGAAAGCCAGTCCAAAGAAAGCGGCTCTTCAGTCTCAGCAGGAGCCAGAAAATTGGGATCAGAAAGCCAGTATGGGGAAAATTTTGACAGCTGTCAGGAAGGAGATTGGTAAAACCAAATGCTGGGGGAGAGGGAAATCATTCAAATTTAAGAAAAGGGCATTTGTGGAATAATGGATAAAGCCAGTACAATACCGAGGTACCTCAATTATAAAAGCAGACTTTTCCATATTTTTTAACTTCCCAAATCGGAAAGTTCATAAGTACACCCCTAGTGGATTGTTCCTCTCCACATCCTTTCCAAACAATTATTACATCCATAGTGCACTTGACCATTTAAGAATATTTTAGAATTGAGAAAATACCTCAATATAGAGCTTTCGCTCACCTTAACTCATTTTGATTCTCACAGCAACCCACCCTTAAACTGAAGCTTAAGAATAAATGCCTTGCTCAAGGTCATGACATGCAGTGTGAAATGCTGTGGCCAGGCTTTGGGATGTAATGTAATCTGGCTTGATCGCTTTCATTGAGATCTAGCACTTGACACGAAGCGGCATCCTGCTTGTGTTTAGTATTTGTTGAGTACAGGTAATAATACTATGTTGTTTTGGCTTCAGCACATTCTCCAGAGTTATAGAGGCGAACCTATCTCTGTTTCTTGACTTTTCACTTCTGGTTCAGTTTGCTGACATACCGCCTTAATCTTTTTAAGGAATATGTAAAAAATCTTCCATTCAGTATTTGAGAACTATACGTTTGGCTGGACTATGATAAATAATTTGAGAAAATGTACTAGAATGCAGCACAGGACCTAAATAAATGGAAAATAAGAAAGAAAGGTCCAGGGTATATCCAATAGGAGTGTCAAAAAGAGAAACTAGAGAGAATGGTTGTGAGCAGTAGTCAAAGAATAATAACTAAGAATTTTTCAGGATTATGGAATATTTGAGTGCTCAGATTCAGGAAGCACTTATTCTTGAGCAGGTTTAAAATAAAGAATTCCATATGTGGACACATCCTGATGAAACTGCAGAACACCAAAGACTAAGAACTATTAAAAGCAACTTTTTTGTTGTTAGAGCGGCTTTTTTTCAGTTTTAAATAGAGTAAAATGTACATAATGCAAAATAATTTATCATCTTAACTATTTTAAAGTGTACAGTTCAGTAGTGTTGAGTATATTCACATTGTCATGCAACCAATCTCCATAACATTTTTCATCTTGCAAAACTGAAACTCTATACCCATTTAAAAACAACCTCCCATTTATCTCTACCCCGAGCACCTGGCAACTGCCATTCTTTCTGTCTCTATGAATATGACGACTTTAGGTACCTCATGTACGTGGACTCTCTTACAGTATTTATCTTTTTGTGACTGACTTATTTCACTCAGCATGACATCCTGAAGGCTCATCCATATTGTAGCATGTGTCAGAATTTCCTTCCTTTTTAAGGCTGAATAACATTCCATTGTAGGTATATACTACATTTTGTTTATTCATTCATCTGCTGATGGACACTTGGGTTGCTTCCGACTTTTAGCTATTGTGAATGCTACTATGAACATGATGTGGTACAAATATATCTTTGAGACCCTCTCATCAATTCTTTTGGGTATATATCCAGAAGTGGAATTACTGAATTATATGGTAATTCTATTTTAAAAGCAACTTTTTAAAATGTGGTAATGACACAAGAATAGACAAAAAGAAAATTAGAGTACCTGTACCTGGAAGTTGGTATACACTAAAAGTGTCTGATAAGAAGTAAGTGTTGGTCAGGTTGTGGGAAAGAACTATGCATGACTCTTGAAAGTGTAAATGGTACAATAATTTTGTTGTTGCTGTGGGTGTTTTTGTTTTGTTTTGTTTTTTTGAGAGAAAGAGAGAGAGGAAGGGCATACAGAAAGTAAGAGAATCCCAAGCAGGCTCCACACCAGTGCCAAGCCCTATGTGGGGACGCTTGATCCCATGACCCGGAGATCATGACCTGAGTTGAAATCAAAAGTCAGACACTTAGCCAACTGAGCCACCCAGGCACCCTGGTATAATAACTATGTTAATTGGCTATAGAAAAGACAAATGATGGTGGTTCTAGTTAGATTGGCTATTCATATAAAAAATGAAATTAGATTCTGACCTCCACCACAAATAAAACTCAATTCCAAATGAAGTAAGTGTGAAAAAAACCCCTCCAAACTTTTAGAAAATAGATGTCTTTATGACATCACCTTAAGGAAGAAGTTGTTAAACCAGACAAAACAGTACCATTCGTTAATCAAAAAGATTAAATTTTGATTGTTTTATAAACAGAAGAGATAAAAGTTTTCAAAACAGAAGAGAAGACAATTTTAATCAAGTGAAAAACAAACCACAGACTGGGAGAATATAGTTAAGCTCTGAAAATATAAAGAATTCTAACAATTTAATATAAAAACTTATTCATATAAGCCAAATAAGCAACTCACAGAAGAGGAAAACTGAATAACCAGAAAGAGTTTTTTTTTAAATGTTTACCTTCACTTGTAATCAGGGGAATTCATATTAAAACAAGATAACAGGATCAGTTCCTTTAAAAAGATGCAAAATCCTAATACTGCTATAAAATAGTACTGAAGCAAAAACTGATAGAACTGAAATAGGAAACTAACCCACAATGCATTTGGAGAGTTCATCACTCCCCTCTCTGTAATTTGTAAAGCAATATACAGAAAATTAGTAAGGATACAGAACTCAGATTCCAAGCTTGGTTTACACATGAGCATCACCTGGGAATCTCTTAAGAGTTCTAAAGAACAGGCTACACCCCATACTCATTAAATCACAATCTCTAGGGTTGGGGTATAGGCATTAAGGAGATTCAAAGGTGATTTCAACAGAGTGCAGGCAAATTTGGGAACTATTGATATAGAAAACCTTAACAGTCCTATCAACCGATATGACCTAATTGACATAGAAAATTCCACTCAATAACTAGAACATACCTTCTTTTCAAATGTACATGGAATATTCAAGAAAATGGACCATATTCACTATCATGACACCAACCTCAACAAATTTAAAATGGTTGAAATCATATAAAATATTTTCTCTGACCACAGGGAAATTAAACTAGAAATTAATAACAAAGATATTTGTAAAAAATTTGGAAATTAAGTAATTATATAAATTCTACACAAACTCTTTGAGAAAATAAAATAGGAAAGAATACTTTCCAACTTGTTTTATGAGAACAATGTTACCTTGATTCCAAAACCAGACAAAGACACTAAAAGACATAAAACTGAACATACACACAAAAGTCCTTAACATGTATTTAGGAAATCAAATCCAACAATTGCCCCTAGACAGAGAGCCTAGAAAGTTTTGATTCTGGCTCCATGAATTTCACTTCTCTCACAGATTATGGCCTAAAGCTAATTCTAAAATTCATATGGAAAAACAAAAGATCCAGAATAACAATTTTGTAACAGAACCACAAAGTTAGAGGACTTATACTACCTTACTTCAAGTCTTATTATAAAGCTAAAGCAATAAAATAAATGGGGTATTGTTACACATAGATAAACAAAGCAATAGGATTTAGGAATAAACCCACACATAATATGGTCAATTAATTTTCACAGTGGTACCAAGGTATTTCCATGAGAAAGGATAGACTTTTTTTTTTCCCAATAAGCTGGAACAACTGGATATTAGTATGGAGAAAAGAAACTGAACCTCAACTCCTACATTATAGCATACACAAAAAATGTTAATTCAGAATGGATCATAAACTGAAACATAAAAGCTAGAATTATAATCTTCTAGAAGAAGCCAAAGAAAAAAATCTTCATCCTTTTGGTGTTGGCAACATTTTTTGAGAACAGTCACCAAACAAAACAAAACAAAACAAAACACCCAATCAAACAAACTTTTAAAAGAAAAAGAATGATTAATTGAACTTTGTAAAAATTAAAAACTTTTGCTCTTTGAAAGACGCCACTGAGAAAATAAAAGACAATTAATAGACTGGGGAAAATAGCCATAATACATGATCTTAAAAAGGACTTGAATTTAGAATATCTAAGAACTTTTTCAATCAATAGTAAAAAACATCCCTGTAAAATAATGGAATATTAGTCGGCAATAAAAAAATAACAAACCAATATGGATGAAACTGAAGTATATTATGCTAAGTGAAAACAGCCAGACAGAAAATGTGCAGACTGTCTGCTTTTATTAATATAAAACCCTAGAGCAGACAAAACTTACCTATTGTGATAGTTGAATCAGTGGTTGCTTGGGGTTGAGGACAGATAGAGAATTGACTATAGAGGGGCATGAGAGCACTTTCCATTATAGTGGAAATGTTCTATAATATTTTTATTGGAATGGTAGTTATACAGTATATACAACTGTCAAAAGTAATCTTCTCTAACTTAAATTGTTTGTATTTGATTATATATTATTTTTCCTCAGTGAAACTGATTTTTTTAAAATGAGAAGACTAGCCATGATTTCTTTAGGGTTTGAAGTATGCTAAATATGCTGCATGTATTATTTTACTCAGTCCTCAAACAATCCAATGGTGTAGGTATTATCAAACTCATTTTGCAGATGAGTTTGATAATAAGGCTCAAAGAGTGTCTTGTCCAATATCATATAGCTTGTGTTAGGCTGAATTCAAACCTATCTTTTTTATCTGTAAAGTAAGTATCATAAAACCTACTTTATTGAGTTGTAGGTTCTGCTAGGATCATTAGAATTAAGTAAAAATAAAGCACTGCAAAGACTTTCCAAACTGAAATGACTTTGAAACCATGGCCCAAAGAAAGTGTGGGTTGGAACTTGCAGCCTCA